TGCTGCAAAGAGGTGGAGAACACTCGAAAGATTAATGAGCTCCGCAAACTAAAGCAGAAAAATTACAAGCAACAAATTTACCACCAAATTCAGCAACATCAGGATGAAAAGAACATTCTGAATAATACTAAGAAGTGGCAGAGTCAAAGGACCCGAGAGAACCAGGAGAAAATGAAACTTGAAGACCTCAAGGCCTTAGAGAAAAAGAGGGCAGATCAATGGTGTCTGCAGAAAGAGTTTATCGGTAATATTGATGAGAACATGTCAGCCAAGAAGCAGATGAAACAGGAGGAGAGGTTGGCCGACATGAGAGAAAACGAATACATTGAAAACAAATTTAGGCTGAGGACAAAACGTGATGCAGAACAGAGCTGCATCAAGGAAGAGAGGGAGCATGAGCAGTTTTTAATACAAGAAAAAGCGAAAACTATCAGGGCAGAAAGCTTTGAGCTCAATAATCAGAGAATTCAAGAACAAAAGACAGTGAATGGGAGAGAAAAAAAAAAAATGTCACCAGGAATAAAGTGCAGGATGTCACCATGCTGAATTCAGCTCGTCTAGAGCAGGTTCGCTCCAAAGAGCAACTCATGGTTGTTTAAAGGGAGCGCCAGAAGGCAGAGTATGATGTGATGGCTAAGCTGGAACAGGACTCCATGGTCAAACAACAGGAGGAGGAGGAAAAGCGATGTCAGAAAGCACAGCAGCATAAAGAGGCGTTGTTACAGCAGATCAAGGAACATGGGCGCTTTGCCAAACATAAGTGCAAAGACACCTTTAAAGAAGCTTTTGATTTCACTGAGGAAGGAAGGGGTAGAGAAGTGTTCCTTGATATAGTGAAAGAAAAGAAACTGAAAGACCTAAAAGCTTCTGGAATCCCTGAAATTGCATTCAATTTGAAAGGAAAGTGTTCAACAGGAGACAAAAGTAGACAAAACAGCAGTCTGCCAAAAACAAAAAGACTCAACCTCCTGCCCATCTAAAGATAAGTCAGGGAAAGGTCCAAATTATTGAATTTCTGGAACAACCTGAGCTTCTTTATTCCTTTCACGTCCCACCGACCTCACTTTGCAGCCTCTCACCCAAAAAGTCCACTTCCGTCTTTCCTTCTCCCCCCTTGATTTAATTTCTTCTCAATCCTCTCATTTCCCCTGGTGTAGAGGTTTACTCTGGGTGCTCTGGTTTTCCTCAACAATCAAATCATTGAAAAAATGTAATTTCTGAAACCATCAATAATAAAAAAAAAACTGTGTAGCTGTGGCTCAGTTGGTAGAGTCGTTGCCTCTCAACCAGAAGGTCAAGGTTTTGATCCCCAGCTGAGCAACATGTCCGATGTGTCCTTAGGCAAGACACACTGCATTGCTCTGGCTGCTTTGGTGGTGGTGTATGAATGGATTAGTGTTGTACTTACTCTCTGATGTATGTTGCTTTGGCTGAAAGCGTCTGCTAAGGGAATTGTAACATTGTAACATATATTATGCCTGTGATCAGACATGTTTTAATCGATTAATTTAAGATTAATATACATTTATCAGGTTGGGCATGTAATGAGAGTAAAATAAATTGATTTAACAAAAAATATTTTAGTTGGCTAGGACGACACTGGACAAACGTTACTGAGGTGGTAATGTTAAAATTATGTTTAATTATGTGTCATTATGTAGTTTTCTGAACTCTACTTTGATAGCCCGACTTGCTTTCAAAATGTTTTTCACAAGTGTTAACATAACATTGAATAGAGCATATTCCTAGCTAATGGAAAAAGGTAGCAAGCTAACATTAGCTAGCTTGCCCTTAATTTAACACAAGTTACGTTATCAAGTTATGTTAGTTTGATTTTTTGGGGTTTGAAATCTTGGAAAGACATGCCAGATTTTCTCAGTTTGTAGTTATGTTTTGAATGTGGTAGCAAGACACTGAAGCTAGTCATTTTTTATTTTATGTAAAGCACTTTGAATTTCCTCTGTAGTTAATATAATGAGGCCATTCATGAGATCGGTGTAGAGCCGAAGAGTGAAAAGAGGGTGAGGGTATTGTGAATAGCTCTATGAGTTATTTTTCTTTTTCAAAACTGCTAACACAGCATTTGCTGCCGTATTGATTAAATAGCCTACTACTAAAATGAAGCCCGTTTCATGATTCTTGCAGTCGGAGCTGCCAGCGCTGTGCGCTCGGAATCGGGTCATTTCATACTGATAGCGGACAGAGCGCCTCCAAGACTGGTTTATTTGAATGTGAATGATCTGACTAGCCCAAGGGTGGCAACCTTTTCTTTCAAAATAGCCATTTTTGCCGTCATGGAGCGCCCTCCAGATCTGTGCGCTCCCGTTTGTCAGAATGGGCTCTCGGTTTGGTTTTGAGGTCTAAGTTTCGATCCTCTGATAGCCTATTGTATTGTTTATTTCACGTCCTCCTTCCCATGCCTTACGATTTCCTGAGCTGCCACTAAACTTTAAACATGTCGAATTAATCTGTATCTTAAAAGTTAGCTTCGCTTACGGCCCTTTTTCTCTTTCCAATGCGGATCATCCTCACAAAATGCATTGTGCTTGTTCTTGAAATGTCTCTAAACATTACTTTTCATTGTTTCAAATTTCTGGCGACAGATTGCTCAAGCTTACAGAAAGACAAAACGCAGGGAAAGGACAAACACAGCCATTACGAGTCTGCGCAGCCTGTGCACACACCCGCTGTGTCTCTCTCTTCTCTCTCTCTCTCTCTCTCTCTCGCAGGCTGGAGGGATGCATCAAGTTTACATACTTAATTAATATCCCCATATTATTTTATTAGGAACCTCCTGCAACCCGCAACCCGCAACCTCAACTCCATCAGAACGGCTCTTTTCAGATGCTGGAAATATTGTCACAAAAAAAGGGCAAGCCTGACTCCAGAGCATGTCGACATGCTAACATTCCTCCACTCCAACCGTCAAACTATATCTTTAATTCAAAACACACACACACGCACACACACACACGCACACACACACATGCACACACGCACACACGCTCAGAGAATTTGTTAACAAGACCTTTCCATAACATTTTGTTCCTTAATTAAATACTCATTTAAAGCTCTTGCGCACTGTAGCCCACTGCATTAACCTTAACGGAAGCTTTATGATGTCTGTTTTCTACTTCCCCCACATGGGAGGACATTCAATCTGCAGTATAGCCCCACACAGATATCTGAGCATGTGCCAGCCCACATTAATGCTTTGTTTAGACACAAACTAGTACAACAGAAACCCACTGGTGTATCCCACTGGACCTGAACACATCCATGCCCAACAGTGAGGAAACTCAGCAGAGGCCTTATCTCACCTTGCAGAGGCTGCATCAACCTCCACGCTGCTGACTGTTGGGAAGTCAACTGTATGCTGATGTCCTTTTCATTCCGCACGGATCAGCTGAGAATGTTTCAATAGCACGTCTCCTTTTATGTGCACACATTCTCCGGCTTGCAGGGTTTGGTTATGTAAAGGGGCGCACATTTTCCCATAAATCCTCATTTGACCGCATTTAACCCCTAAAATTAATTATAACCTTAAGTCTGGTGTTATGTCAAATATCAAACCATAAACCAATAAACCAAAGCAATTTTATCCTGAGGTAGGGATGTGATGTTCATGTCGCTCATATAGCCTACTGTCAGTCCACCAAGGCTGGCTACACAGTTGACGATTTTCACATCAAAACCAATTTTTAAAACGTTTTGAGACGATTTGAGATCGTATAGTGCTTTTCTATCAATCAATCAATCAATTATTTTTTAGTTGTGTAGCGTCAACTCATAACAAGTGTTATCTAAAGACAAAAAGCAGGTAAAAGACCTTACTCTTTGTCTTTTAACATTACAAAATAGCAGGTAAAAAGACCATACTCATTGTTATGTTACAAAAAGCAAAAGACCTTACTCATTGCTATTCTAGTCTTCTACAAAGCACTTTTACACTGTATGTCACCATTCACACGCTGATGGCAGAGGCTGCTATGTAAAGTGTCACTGAGTATTAACTAATCCCATTCATACACATTCATACTCGAGCAGCAGGAGCAACTTGGGGTGTCTTTCCCAAGGATACCTCAGGATAAAATAGCCCAAGTACACATCGGACATGTTGCTGAAAGAGCTGGGGATTGAACCCCCAACCTTCTGGTCGAGAGATGACTGACTATAGGAACTGAGCCACAGCAATAAAAACCCTGTCATGAAGAAATGGATTATAAAGTGTTACATCTGATGTAAACAAAGAACAAGTACGCCCATGTGACACCCGCCATGTCCCACTTCAGGGATGCCTTTGTGCGAGCTCTGCGTGCTGTCTGGGTAACCCTGGGCGAGCCCAAAACTAACCCTGAACTGGCCCCGAGAAGAAGTAGTAGAAGTGAGTGCTGACCCCAATGTCCTCACTTCACAAACACCTCCTCACTCTGAAGGACCAAAGTCAAACTTTCTTCCCAAACAAGATTACCATTCTGTGAAAAGGGCAGCAGGTTAGAATGTTGCAGACTCAAAATACAATAATCCAAAACAAAAGATGTTTTAAATAAAAAAATGAGATTCAAAATCAAAACAACCCCCCAAAAAACAGATGTGACAGAAAAATGCATCATATTCACCAATCACAACAGCATCAGGCATGTAGGGGGCTACTATAGAAACAGCTTTATTTTTGATGGGAGATTTATGTATCAGATGCTGAATTTATCAATTATCATCAAGCAGCAAACTGACAACAGCATGTCAGTTTGTCCCAAAAGAAAAGCACAAACTGACATGCTGTCAGGCTGGTTCAAAATAAGAAGTATCAATAGCTCATGTCATGCTCTCTTTGCTGAGTTTGATCTTCTGCAGCAAAAAGAACAAAAACAAAACCAGGAAGAGAGTGCTTGTGTGCCCTCTGGTGGTTCTGAAAGGGTATAACATTAGTAAGGGTCTAACACGAAATGCACCTCTTCAAACAGAACCTGTGGGTGCATGAAAAATGAAACTCACAGTGGTCAGAGATTAAGACTTTTATAGTTAAGAATCAATGTTTCACAAAAAGATCATTTCAGCATTTCAATCAGAACTTGCTCATCAGCATTATTTCACATTGACTGGCTCTGGTTCCAACTTTGCGTTGATGGAGATGTTTCATATTACAGTACTAAGATAATATTACAGTAAGATCCTGTGAGATAATTTGGAGGTATGTTATTATTATTATCATGACGTGCTGCTGCCCTCGTGGCCAGGTCACCCTTGTGAAAGAGATTTACGACCTCTTTCACAAGGGTGACCGAAAATAGAAAATATATGCAAAATATGCAAATGAAAAAGTCTGAAAACTGTGTGAAGTGTCAGTGTGGCTCGTCAATGCTCTGTGTGAAGTGTTCTCCAGTGTACAGGCCGTAGTGCAGCGTGTCTTTCTGGGCTGCAGCCCACGCCATCTGCCGGCTGGAGAAGCGAGCGGCCCAGTTACCCTGAGGGTCCACCGTCACCACACCACCAAGACCATCCACTCTGGACTTCATGTAGGCCAGGGCAGAGTCACTGGCTGCCTCTGCTGACTGACCTAAAGAACAGAGGAGAGAGGAACGCTAACTGAACAACTCCAGTTAACCTCTGCATTCATTTCTGGTGTTTATTATTAACATCTACATGCTGAGAGAGAGAGAGAGAGAGAGATTAACCCTGTAAGCAAAAGATTTAAGAGAACGAGCGTAAGATCTGAGCTGAGTCCAGATCCATAAACTAAAGCTCTCCACGTGAGACTTCAGGGTGAAGAAATGTAAATATACTTAAGAACTGATGGGAATCAGACAAGTGTAAAACTGCATTGATGGGCTAGTTCTTCGACTTAAGTATGTTGCTACAGCAGTATTTTTTTCTAAAAATGATCAGAATCGTTTTGTACTTTTTATCTCGTGGCCTTTCTGTTAACGTCAGACGTCTGAGGCGGTATCCACTCATGACAGTTGGCTCGCTGGAGGACGCCGGGTGTATTGTTCGTTACAAGGAGGACGCCGATCATCAGACAGCGTGTTCCAAAAGGTATCGTTATCAGACCGGTCCAACTCAATGGCGCCCACCGCTACCAGGTTTATGGCCATGTTTAAATGTGTGCACACAACTTTGCGAGCGTAATCCCAATGCATTGGTCGCCAAAAATAAACTGATCGTTGCGGAATAAGACTGAACTTTGTGATCAATTGTAATGTTCGTGCTGGACGTGCGTTATGGAACAATATAAACAAAACGGGGACATAATGCGGCTGCAGCGAAAATAGGTAACATTAATGAAACACAGTCTGTAAAGGGTAAAAGATCTGTTAAATTAACTTACAAAGCTCTGGCTGAAAAAGTAGAAAGGCTACAAAATATAAGAAAAGATCAATTAAATAAGGCCAGAAATCTAAGAAAAATTACTCCGGAGCCCATGCAGCCCAGCAGGGTGAAAGAGGTAAAATGTACACTTGAAAAAATGGTTTGTCTGTGTGGGGAAGCAAAAGTTGCGCATGATTCTCTTGTGCCTTTAATGCCCACTGATGAAAGGGATAAACAAGATACATGGTTTTCTGCAAAAATGCTTGCTGAGAAGGATTTCATTTCTGATGTTGAAAATTGGTTGACAAACAATGACAATAATGATGATGTTGATGTGAACCCTTTTGATGATGTCAGACCTGATGACAGCATATCAAATGTTACCAGTAAACACTCTAACCGCAAAAGTGCAGCCAGTGGTAAAAGTAAATCCTCTTCCTGCATCAAAGTACAGGCAGAAAAAGCTGCACTTCTTGCTCGTGTTGCAATACTTAAGGAAAAGCATGCTTTGGAGGCCCAGGAGGGACAGTTACGAAGAAGAAGGGAGCAGCTCACCCTTGATGCTGAAATAGCTGCATCCACAGCAAAACTGGCTGTTTTACAAGCTGCTTCAGATTGTTCAGGAGACTCTGAAGCATCATCAAATGGGATGAATTCTTATTTTGAAAGGAAAAAACATACATCACACCAGCTTCCTCAGAAACTTGTGGTCATACAGGGGCCGGAAAGGAGGACAGCATCCTGTCTATTCTGCCAGTCCAGGTTAAAGCCATCAAAGGAGACAGAATCCTTCAAACGTATGCGTTTCTTGATCCTGGCAGTATAGCTACATTCTGTTCAGAGCGTCTTATGCAGAGGTTGAACATTACTGGAAGAAGAACTAACTTCCTTTTACACACTATGGGACAAGAGAAGGTTGTTGCGACTAGTGCCCTGAATGGTCTGGAGGTTGTTGGTTTTGACAGTAACTTCTTTTACAGACTACCAGAAGTTCTCACTCAAAGTAAAATGCCTGTGACCACTAGCAATGTTGTCACACAGGAAGAGCTAGCAAAGTGGCCATACCTCTCTGACGTCAAAATTCCTGGCATAGATGCCAACGTTGACTTGTTGATTGGTACCAACGTCCCCAAGGTATTGGAGCCGTGGGAGGTTGTCAACAGCCAGGGGAATGGCCCATATGCCATAAGAACTGTATTAGGCTGGGTGGTTAATGGTCCCCTTCGAGACGGAGAGAACAGCAAACTTAAAACAGGGTTTTCAGTGGCTGCTGTAAATAGGATCTCTGTATGCAAGTTGGAGGAAATGCTAAGCAACCAATACAACCATGACTTCAATGAAAAGAGTTCAGAGGAAAGGGCAATGTCAAGAGAGGACCTCAAGTTCCTGGAGATAATGGACAAGTCAGCAAAGCTTCAGGATGGACATTACAGCCTGAGAATGCCCTTCAGGAAAAATCTGCCCACTCTTCCAAATAATCTCTCAATGGTCAAGTAAAAACTGATGGGATTAAAAGGGAAGTTCAGGAAAGATGAGCTATATCACAAGGAATATACCAGCTTCTTCACAGATGTTATCAGGAATGGCCATGCAGAAAAGGTGCCTTGCCATCAGCTGGACTGTGGAAATGGAAAGCTCTGGTATATACCCACCACGCTGTACGTCATCCCAAAAAGGCCACTTTACGTGTTGTGTTCGACTGTGCAGCTGAGTTTAAAGGAACCTCGCTTAACAGCCAGCTTCTTCAAGGCCCCAACCTCATTAGTTCCCTGTTTGGGGTCCTTACAAGATTCAGGCAGGAGCCCATAGCATTCATGGGGGATATACAGTCCATGTTCTACCAGGTCAAGGTGGCAGAAGAAGACAAAGACTTCCTTCGATTCTTGTGGTGGCCTGAGGGCAATGTGAGTCAAGAGATAGTGGAGTATCGAATCAAAAAAATCAGAGAATCGAAAAAGACCAAGTACTTTGAGTTTTCTGTTGTATCACTATACTGATTAACACAAGTCTTGTTCGGTGCCGTCTCTTCCCCAAGCTGTGCCAGTTATGCACTGAGGAAAACAGCTGAGGACAATAGCGCTCACTTTTCACCACAGGTGGTGGAAACAGTCAAACGAAATTTCTATGTGGATGACTGCTTGAAGAGCTTGCCCTCAGAAGAGGAGGCGGTTGCCATGGTCCAAGCTCTTAACAACATCTGTCAAAAAGGAGGCTTCACTCTGACAAAGTGGGTCAGTAACAGCCGTGCAGTCCTGCAAACCATTGAAGAGGAGCACAGGGCTAAGGATTGGAGAGAATTGGATCTGGATAGAGATGAGCTTCCAGTAGAGAAAGCATTTGGGCTGCAGTGGTGTGTGGAGTCGGACTCATTTAGTTCAAGATGATGTTAAAGGAACAACCTTCTACCAGGCGAGGAATGTTGTCTGTGATCAGTTCAGTTTATGATCCACTGGGTTTCCTTGCACCAATAACACTGCCAGCCAAGATCATGTTGCAGGAGCTCTGTAGGAGACGTTGTGGATGGGATGACAACATACCTGCAGACATTGGCAATCAGTGGATAAGATGGCTTGAAGACCTGAAAGGGATGGATTCTTTTAAAGTTGAGAGATGCATTAAGCCCAAACACTTTGGACAGCTCACTGAGGCGCAACTGCATCACTTCTCTGATGCTAGCCAGGAGGGATTTGGCATTGTTACTTACCTCAGGATTGAAAACAGCAAAAGCAGTGTCCATGTCTCGTTTCTGCTGGGCAAAGCCAGAGTCACCCCCCTCAAACAGGTAACCATTCCCCGTGTGGAGCTGACAGCTGCGGTTCTTGCCGTCCGTGTAGATCACACGTTGAGAGCAGAACTAGATCTACCGTTGGATCACTCAACTTTCTGGACGGACAGCACAGTGTTGAAGTACATAAAGAACGAGGACAAATGCTTCCACACGTTTGTGGCAAATAGGGTGACAACAATCAGAGATGCAACTCATGTCTCACAGTGGAGGTATATCCATACTAAGGAGAACCCTGCTGATGATGCCTCTAGAGGTATGAAAGTTGGAGATTTGCTGAATGGTGGTATGATGGATGGAGGGCCCAAAGTTTCTGTATGAACCAGAAAAGGATTGGCTTACTGATGCCACGGAAGCAACAATGGGAGTTGATGATCCAGAAGTCAAGAAGGATGTCACAGTAAATACAATCATAACCAAAGACTCACCTGATGCTACAGACCAGCTCATAGCACATTTTTCCGATTTGAGGAGATTGAAGGTGGCAGTCGCATGGTTTCTCAAGTGGAAAAGGACTCTTCTACAGTTGGTAGAAAGGAGGAGAGAATTACATGCTCTTGAGATTCACAGAAAAGATGCAGATGATGCATCCAAGTATGTATCATTGGAGATGAAAAAAGCCAAAAGTGCATTAGGAGGTCAAACCTTGTTTCCAGATGATCTGTTGGAGGCTGAAGTTTCTATTGTTCGCTACTGCCAGCAACAAAGGTTTAAAGAAGAAATTGACGCACTGTCAGCTGGAAAGTCTGTAGCGAGAGCCAGCGTCATCTACAAACTAGACCCATGCTTCAAAGATGGACTTTTGAGAGTTGGAGGTCGATTGAGTCAGGCAGCTCTGCCAGAAGAGACAAAGCATCCTCTCATTCTCTCAAAAGATCAATACATCTCCACACTCATATTGAGGCACATTCACCAACAAGTGGGCCACAGTGGTAGAAATCATACACTGTCAAGGCTGCGCAAAAGGTTTTGGATAACAAGTGCCAATTCAGCTGTGAGGAAAATTATATCGCAATGTTGTTTCTGTAGGCGATATAAGGGAACTGTAGGCAAACAAAAAATGGCCGACCTACCAATGGAAAGGGTTCTTCCTGACCTCCCTCCTTTCACAAATGTCGGAGTAGATTACTTCGGACCTATCGAAGTAAGGAGAGGTAGAAGTCTTTGTATTAATGCGTTATGGTGTCATCTTTACCTGCCTGGCCAGCAGAGCTGTCCATTTGGAAGTGGCTCCATCATTGGATACGGACGCATGTATTAATGCTTTATGAAGGTTCATCAGCCGAAGAGGACAAGTGGTTTCAATGCGTTCAGATAATGGCACAAATTTTGTTGGAGCAGAGAAAGAGCTGAGGGAAGCAATAACATCCTTGAACCACAGTCGGATACAGGGAGTTCTACTGCAGGAAGGTATTCAGTGGAACTTTAACCCGCCTTCAGCATTGCACCATGGCGGAGTCTGGGAACGTGTCATCCAGATGGTCAGGAAAGTACTCACTTCTGTATTACATCAGCAAATCTTGGATGATGATGGACTCCACACAGTGTTGTGCGAGGTTGAGGCCATATTGAATGATCGCCCTCTCACTAAGCTTTCAGATGATCCTAATGATCTCGAACCTCTCACTCCTAACCACATTCTGTTGATGAAAGGTAAACCAGTCTTACCACCTGGACTCTTTAGCAAGAACGATGTATACGTTAAAAGGAGATGGAAACAAGTCCAATACATCGCAAATCTTTTCTGGAAAAGATGGGTACAGGAGTACCTCCCTTTACTTCAAGAGCGGACAAAATGGAATCAAGACAGGAGAAATTTCCTTCCCGGAGACATTGTTGTTGTAGTGGATTCTGGAGCTCCACGTGGATCCTGGCTTCTTGGTAGAGTGTTGGAAACTTTCCCAGACAAAAAAGGCTTTGTACGCTCTGTGCATCTCCAGACAAAGACAAGCATCTTGGAAAGACTTGTCTGCTGCAAGAAGTTACAAGTTGTTAGAGGTCGCTATTAATTTCAATGCTGACTAAAACAAGGTTATATTTGGGTTGTGGTACAATTTGTATGTATATTGCTTACATGATGGCTCTGTGTGTTACATTTGAAGGTAATTGTTATGTAAGTGCCATGAACAATTAGGGGCCGGCGTGTTAGAGCCATTTGTGTGTTCAGTATGTATGTGTGCTCTGTGGTAGTTCCTTGTGGTCACAGTAGGGGGCACATTCACTTTGGTGTTGGGAAGGTTACAAGTAGAGGAAGAGTTAATCACGGACAGGTGAGCAGCCCACCGTGAGAGGCACACATTTTTTGACCGCTGTTGAAATGTATTGTGAATGGAACATTTATCCTGGCTTTGTTTTACATTGAAGTTATAGTGGAATAAGTGTATGTAGACAACCAGAATATGTATTGTAATGAACGATTCAGATAAACTCATTTTGAGTGTGACAGCACGGAGTTGATTGAATTATTGCCACGAAACACGGAAACAACGCGTCAATTAAGTACGGTAGGCTATCAACCCCTCAGTGGGTCAAACTTTTGATACGCAAGATCAAGCCACTACACATGGTAAATGGACTTTTACGCATCATGCTCAAAGGACTGGAGGACTGTTAAAAACAAAGAACAATGAGTCAACCTTTTTCAGGTTAAGTGTCTTTAGTATGTCTTTCTTCAACAAATACCTTTATGATGAGGCATATCATTCCACGCTGTATGTTTGAGGACTGACCTATGCAGGGTGTGTCCCCCACCTGACCCTCCATCTTGTTCAGCATCCCACCAGTGGAGGTCGCACAGGCTACAACTCCCTCACTATCCACTGCCACGGCCCCGACTGTGCCCATCTTCCCCCTACACGTTGAAAAAAAACAGAAACAGAAAAAACAGATGTGAAATGAGTATGGATGGGATTTGTTAATACTGACGGACACTTTGCGTAGCAGCCTCTGTCATCACTGTGTGAATGTGGTGTGACAGGAAGTGTAAAAGCAGCTTTGAGTGGTCTAGAACGCTGGTTCTCAACTGGTCTATCCTCAAGACCCACAACCTACAGTATCCCCATGTGAAAAGCACTGTCTAAGTACATCTACCATTTACTGTGATCCTGTCAGTAGCAACAACATAAAAAAAAATGCGGTGTAAAAACGCTTTGAGTAGTCAGAAGACTAGAAAAGTGCTATACATTCTCAAGTACATTTACACTTTAAAAAATTGGGTTTCATTTACAGTAACATTACAGCTTGTTTTAAGACTGCTCAAAGTGATCATCTGAAGATATATTGAAACTTTTTGCACCTATAACTAATTAATGCCCTTAAAACATGTCCAAACTCAACAGAATCCCTCTTTAAGGAACACTCCAGCAAAGAGCTTGTTCCTTTAGGAAAGGCGCAGCTGCAGTCAGCTGGGACTCACAGCAGTAATCATGAATTCCAACGATGACCCAGAGTCAGAGCATAGAAACCTGTGCAAACATCCATACAACCCTCTCCAGTAACTACTGCTGCATAACCCCTGCTATGGTTGATTCTTGTGCTCAGTATGTTCCAGAAAGTCTTTAAAATCTTTACTGGGCTTCAATAAGAGGCTCTGGGATAAGACTTATGAGTCACTTCTTAATGGACACATTTGGCACTCCACAGGGTTGGCATCAGGTGCCAGGTTCTTCCTCCAGCGCATGCGGGAGTACTCGGTGATGAGGGACTCCATGGGCACCTCAGGGACGCCCATGGAGCGGGCGAACTGTTTTGCACCCTCTGCAGTGAGACATGCATGACTCGTCTGAAACCCAGATCACAGTAGACATTAAAAAAATGAATCTCTGCCCTGTGATGGTATACTATACTACTATACTTTTATAAATGAATGCATGCTAGTTTGGCTGTTATTACAAAATGTAATGTTTACACACTCTACTTTATACCCATTATTATTATTTGTTACTTTTCTTAAATCCTGCTGTCCCTGTATAACTGACCATATTTCAGGGTCCAGTATTGTTATATATACGTTGCATATGGAGATTTTCGGGGTTAAACCAAAATGTTTTGGAAGAAAAAGTTTATGAAAAAATGATGACAGTGTACTGTCAAAGAGGGATGCCACATTTTAGACCTTCCTTATCAGAAAACTAGGAACAAACCCCGGGACAGCTCTCTTCGATGTTTTTGAATTTGGACTGCAGTACCCATTTTAATCACTAGATGTCAGAGTAACATATTGCTCCTTTAACATCCTGAGTTGACAACATAACAGTAATGCAAATACGACAACTTTGACGTTTCTACCGGTTTCCATCGGCTATGTGCCGGGACAAACACTTAAATGGTGCTTGAAATAAAAACTGAACCTACACTTTAATTGATCCTTAACTGGATTGTTGAAGGACAAAACACTCTCCTTTATCTCTCCTGAATACTGTTCTGTGCTTAAACTGCGCAGCTGCTCCTGTACAGTGCAGGAACCTTGAGTAAATGGAGTTTTTGAATTTGATGAAGGTTTTCGTTTATGAGTTAAATTGGTTTAATCTCCATAAAAACAAGCAAGATTACAAAGGGGGGGGTGGGGGGTGATGGGGCATTGCTAACAAAAACTAAAACTCTGCTGTTAAGCCTACTGTCTACACCTTACTGTATACTTATAGATTTGTTGTTGCACATACAGTATGGTAAAAACATGAGCTTTAGTAAGTTTATGAACACAAACAGGCCAGAGTTTCTCCTGCCAGCCCCCTCGTTTATTTTCCAGATAAAGTCTGAGTGAGCAGATGCGAGAAGGCAGCAGGATATTATCAGGAGGAGAATGCACGACTACAGAGACACAAAATAGAACTGCCGCATCATGTTTGTTTTCTGTTCTCCAGTTTTTCTTCTCCATTATTCTTTTTTTTTTGAGATTGTGATCCTGTAGAACTACACATAGCATTGATATAATATTCTGATAATAGCCTTGTATAGCGGACTGTGTTGCTTTGTTCCTTGCCTCAGGAAACCCCACTTCTGTACAAGGATAGTCTCCGGCTGTGAGCTGAAAGTGTGGACAACAAGATCAGGAGGATTTCAGGAGCAGTCCTCCTGAAGTTCTTTAAAGATTTTCAGGAGTGCATATGTCAAAACGAATTGTCTTTGCTAAATGTTAAGTGATTTGCTCATAGTGGATTAATGTTGAGTGTTTGTAAATAATATAATAAAGAGTTCGGTCTCTGTCTTTTTGTAAAGTGTCTTGTTTTGAATTGGCGTTATACAAAAAAAGATTGATCGATTGATGTTAAAAGCTACAAACCTTGTCCATAACCAGTCTTGCTAGCTGGGTTGGGTTGGCTATGTCGCGTACAGCTGACACTGCACCAGTCGCCAACGTTTTCCAGTCCATCACAAAAGCATCCATCTCCACCTCTCCCTTCACGTTCAGCACCGACCCACAGCCTGAAATAAATATGAAGAGAGAAATCATTTGATAGAGTCCGGCATCATGGGACAAAGAATGTCTCTCTGTATAACATCTTTAAAGAAAATGATCTGTGACAATTATTGTAAAATGATTCAGCAATTAAAGATGTTGTGAAAAATCCCTTTATATGTTAAGAGTTATGCTTTCTTTCATAGTAAAGTAATGCAACTCACTATTGTCAAAGTGTTCTTGGATAAATGTGGCTCAGTGATAGAGTAGTACTAAATGTTCAACAAAAGTCAAGATGGAAAAACAAAAACAATAGGGCTTTCACACTTGCAGAAAAACTCCTGATATTTCCAGGAGGAGCTGCATGTGTGAACGCCATCAGCCGACATTTTCACTCTGACTCTACCCGGTGTTTCTCCTGCCAGACCCTTAGTATTTTTTCATCCAGGTCAGGAGAATTTCAGGAGCAGTATTCCTGAAATGATCTAGATATTTTCAGGAGTGCATGTGTGAAAACAAACGTGTATAATAGTGTGTGTGTGTGTGTTTTTGTATTACCTGCGTTGAAGGAGGGGTTATTCTCCAGCTGGGTCACAGCCTCCACCACAGCGTCCATGCTGCTGCCCCCTCCCTTGAGAACAATGTACCCGGCTCGGGCTGCTGCAGACACCCCTGATGTGGAGTTTTGTGCCCGCTCCTTTGGGATATGACCCGCCCCTCCATGGACCACCACAGCTGGCAACATGTCAATCACCTGAGAGGTGAAGGAGCACAGTTAAAATGTCATACAGGATGAAGCCACATTCTGTTTTTAAAGGGGATAACGTTGTCTTTGCATTGGCAATCCAAAACGCCCTAAGTCTCTTTCTACATTGACGTGCAGTCAGACAAAAAGGAGAAAGTTCCCGAGTGTTGACGTGAAGTCATACAGTAAAAACTACTTGGAGAGATTAAGCAGAAACATGGGGACATTCATTTATTTAGACTGACTGTTAAAGACGTTATAATACATTCACATATTAATTAATGTTGTGATGTAAAACTAGTGCGTGCTTTAGGCTATACGGTGACCTATGTCTGATAACAAGGAGGGGAGCCGGATACAGCAATACTTTGATGTTTGGGGCAGCAGTCCGTGATGACATTACCACAATAATAAACAAAGTAAACAAGGACACATCGATCGCAGAACTTATTCAATCGGAAATACGTTAAATCTGAGGGGCCCTTGAACGCACCATTTCTACCAACACACCCAACACCTTGTTCTCAAACAAATCGCTGTATCAACTTCAGACATACGACTAATACATTCAAATAAAAACTCATAATTTACCATTTATTTACAACATTTCTAAATGAAATTCCGCCTGGCTATCTTTACAAAATTACCCAAGGTGTGTCATAGACTACAGTAATAAAGAGGTGTTAACAACGTAAATTATTATTTAAAATTGGCCAAAAATGACGAGCAGAAATATGAGATATATGTTGATATAGGAAAACTAAAGCAGGACTTCATTGCTGAATAGCCTAAACTGTAAGGTAGGTTCGGTGTTATAACAGAATTGCATAATTATTACGGATTATGTGGAGACAGTCTTGAGACATGCAAAAAAGACTGAAGTCATATGAGAGCCAACGCCGTTGTAAACAAGCATTGCGACGTTTTTCTTGGCGTAGTGAGTAAACAGACTATCACTGCAGACTATCACAGAGTGAAACAGACGTAACATACGTAGAGAATATAACAACAAATAACATGCTCTGCTATTTCTTTATCCATTCTTTTCATTCATTCTTTTATTCAAGAAATTCTACAGGTACCTGCTGCTGGCTTGATGGACTTGAATAGTGTTTCATCTCCTGCTTCGAGCTTCTTCTTCTTCTCTTCCTCTCTTTGGGGTCTATGGCAGATCTAATCCATAATGTTGCTTCAGCGCCACCCTCTGGTTGTGTTATTCTTCTCTACCCTGCCATGTCTGGTTTAGTGTTCTTTGAACAATGAAAAAGGCTATCCCTCTGTGGAAAACTATATTTTGTGCTGTTACTGTGTCACCATTTCTTGCCTTTTGAAGGAAAATTTGCTGTATGTGCAAAATTCTCAATCTGTCATTGTACTTTTTCAGCGCTGTCCCCCACACATCTTTCAACACGTGAGGAGTTTTTAACTAGATTTAAAACAGATAGAAATTCAAAGTGGTGACTCTTTAAGACCAATAAAAGCAAATAAGACCATCAGAGACAATGTTGCTATATTGTAATTTTCATTGCCTGTGTCTGAGTCCGTGGGAAAGGCATGAGATGAGACTTTTTACACAAGTCACCCATCCTCCACTCCACTTTTGTGTCGACTTTAGAGAGTCAACACAAAATAACAGAAGTAGATGAAAGTCTTTCTCACATCAGTTTATTTATTACACGGTTACACACAGAGGCATCCAAGAAAACAGTGACAGAAAGAAGAGAAGAAGAATCCTTACACTGCAACTGTTTCATATAAACACTTTAAATTCAAACGTCATAGCTGATCCACCTTACTGGTTCATATGTCAGCAACAAAACATCACAAAAGTCAAAAAAGTACAGAAAGATTCCTGTGAATAGAATTGTCTCATATCCCTTCATAACAACAGTTATACATCTGTTAGTCAATACATACTTATGAATACACATCAATGATGTTGTTAACTTGGAATCCTTTGGATTAGTTTTACCACTGCACAGGATTAGCATTTCTCTCCTGTGTGAATCATCATGTGTCTGGTCATATGTCTCTTTGAACTAAACCTTTTACCACACTCAGAGCAGCTGAAGGGTTTCTCTCCTGTATGAACTAACATGTGTGTGGTTAGATTTCCTCTTTGGGTAAAGCTTTTACTGCAAACAGAGCAGATGAAGGGTTTCTCTCCTGTATGAACTAACGTGTGTTGGTCAAACTTCCTCTTTGGGTAAAGCTTTTACTGCAAACAGAGCAGCTGAAGGGTTTCTCTCCAGTGTGAATCACTATGTGACTGGTCAGAGTCCCTTTCAGGTGAAACCTTTTACCACACAGAGCAGCTGTAGGGTTTCTCTCCTTTATGAACTAACATGTGTGTGGTTAGATTTCCTCTTTGGGTAAAGCTTTTACTGCAAACAGAGCAGCTGAAAGGTTTCTCTCCTGTATGAACTAACGTGGGTGGTTAGATTTCCTCTTTGGGTAAAGCTTTTACTGCAAACAGAGCAGATGAAGGTTTCTCTCCTGTATGAACTAACATGTGTGTGGTTAGATTTCCTCTTTGGGTAAAGCTTTTACTGCAAACAGAGCAGCTGAAAGGTTTCTCTCCTGTATGAACTAACGTGTGTGGTTAGATTTCCTCTTTGGGTAAAGCTTTTACTGCAAACAGAGCAGATGAAGGGTTTCTCTCCTGTATGAACTAACATGTGTGTGGTCAGACTTTCTCTTCGGGTAAGGCTTTTACTGCAAACAGAGCAGCTGAAGGGTTTCTCTCCAGTGTGAATCATCAGGTGATTGGTCAGAGTCCCTTTCTGGTGAAACCTTTTACCACACTCAGAGCAGCTGTAGGGTTTCTCTCCTGTATGAACCAACATGTGTGGGGTCAGATGTTGTCTTTGGGTAAAGCTTTTACTGCAAACAGAGCAGCTGTGTGGTCTCTTACAAGTCTTTAGTTTCTTATTTTTCAAGTTGAATTCTGACAGATGTTCTCCTGTCTCTTGCCAATCATCACTGTCATCAGTCTCAGGTTCATAAGAGTCTTCAGTCTCGACCTCAGTCTCTGGTTGTAAACGTCTCTCTGGATCTGAGTCTCTCTCTGGTTCTGCTCCACCACAGTCCTCTCCATCAACTCCTGTTTCCATCTGTTCAGTTTGTCTCTGATGAAGCTGTGAGGACTGAGGTTTCTCTTCATCATCTTCACTCTTCACAGAGACAGGAGTGAAGGGGAACTTGGTGGTATCAGCCTCCTCCAGTCCTTGAAGCTGTTCTTCCTCCTGACTGATCCACAGTTCCTCATGTTCTTCTTTCATGTGTTGGGGCTTAGTGTCCTCCTGGTCCAGAATGTGGCTCCACTCCTGCTGCTCAGGTGGAAGCTCTTCTTTACTCACCAACAGCTGCTGGACATCTGCAGGACACAGTAAACAAACATTAACGGTACTCAGACTGCTTTTTTGAAGCAGGAGCTAGCTGCTACTAACAATTTGCTATGTGCGTCTAAGGCAGTGGGCGCGCACTGTAGCTGTTCCCACTCAACGTTCTTGAAGCCAAAATACGCCCCTTACGAGCGCTTCCATTTTGCGATTTTGGAGCCAGAGTCTGCGCAGTAGGGTCCGGCGGGAGGAGCCCTGGTAACACGCCCCGCCCATTTAGCGTACTGCCCTGATGACTTACGCAGCCCAGCTACGTCGAAAATGCTCTGCCGGTCTACGAGTGTTATGAAGAGTAAGTAGTAAGAAAAGTTTGTGTAAGTACAACAAACCACCGTATTCAAAGTCTAATATTTAAACAGTGTTTTAAAAAAATCCCGGTATTTTGACCATTACTGAAAATATGTGGGCTGCTGGGTCCTCTGTTTTTGCCGAAATCGTTCTATATTTAAACTATATTTAATCTAGGTTAGCACCACAGACCGTAGGCTACAGGTGGTAAGATATGTTGTATTCTGTTAGAAACTGATAGTCTGCAATGTGATTTATGTCTGCTTCTCTAATATATTTAAATGAACAGTAAATCAATTGTTTTTTCTATTTTCATTTAGGCAAAGAAGAGATTAAAGCAGCTGGTCTGACATCTTCCACAGAGGCCAAGCGTAAGTTAAAATCATCTGTTAAAAGTTTATATCCTGTGATTTTTTTTGAATGAAGCCAGGGGTTGTTTATTGAAGATTTCTTTCATAAAATGTTTAAATAAACTTTTTAAAAATCTGATATGACTGTCTCTGATTAACTGGAGCACTACAGCGTGTTGGTCACAGTAAAATCATTTAGCAGTTAAGTTTATAGCTCACATTTGAAAAGGCCTGGAACTGACATTAATTTCTTCTTGACCAACAACAGCTAAGACAACAGCAAAGCTAACAGACGAGCTCAGCTTGTCACAGCCGGGCTCGTCTGAGATAAATGGCCTTCAAACTTATTTAATATTAAACATTTAAAGCCAATAAGCATAGCAAGATACGTATGAGATTCCATTTCCATTTATTCAATCACAGACTTGTCAAACAGTCTGGCATGTTGTGCTGCTGTTTTCAAGAGTTAATAACTGAAGAGAAGAACTCCATCGAGAGAGGACAGGAAACGCTCAGGGGACGAGTCCTCCATGTTGTCAGTGGTTGCTGATGGATCTGAATCTGAGAGCATCTTCTGTAATAGAGAAAAACAATCATGGAGTTAAATGTAAAGTATAATGAATTTTACTGTGATGTTTATGCTTCAGACCTGAAATCAGATCTGTCCTCAGGTTCTGCTAAATTTAAGCTTCTAAAGTTTGTTTTAAAAAAAAGTAGCTGATCATATTTTTCTGTTTTCCTATTAAAGACAGGAGAACTATTTAAGAGGAAAAACAAATCTATAATAAGACAGGATGAATCCAATAATATGACCAGCTTTAGTGTTCCTGCCACTTTCTATTGAAGATTATTTTAAACTGTCATCACATGGGCCAGCCTGATAAATTAAACTAATGTTAAATATTCTCATAATCATGACATAAACAGGGTTACAATAATTCACTTTTGGATGTGAGCTAACAGGTGAAAACTGAAACAGCAGAATAAATCTGGGGCAGAAATCAGAAGCTTGTATATTTTAATATATATAGAGTTTATATTAAGTCAGTGTTAGAAAGGACTGTGGATTAGTTAGTATGAATATGTAATACTCCACCTTCTTATATCACCTGATTGAGTGATTCTTGTGTGTCTCGTACATGGAAGCCAGTTGTCCTCTCTCTTCAAGTCAGTGTGCCTATGGACAGGGACAGACAGATGAGCAGAACCGGTTTATACTGGTTTTTGTTAGCCATGGAAACTTTTATTTCTGAAGTGCAAACACATGAACACATTTAGTTTAGACAAAACTCACTTTAGACACTAGGTGGCGGTATTTGGCTGTTGTTTAAGTTATTGATCAGTATTTGGGTCAATTGTTGTATCTGAAGCAAGTTCAACATATCCAGACTTTCTTTGAGAAAGCTGGTTCAGCAAAGCCAGAAGCTCCAGATAAAGATATCTGATAGCATGAGCTGATTATGAACTTTGTCTGTTAACTCAGACATTCTGCTTCAGGCTCTCAGCGCGTCACAGAAAGGGGGCGTGTGAAACGTCTTTTGACCATTGTTATTCACAAAAGCATCAAGTGCATGAGGTGAGATGATAAAGTTAAAGTGGTAAAACAAGATAGGAAGGAATGAGAAAACAAGCCTGCAGAAAAAAATTGTGTTCATTCGTACATGAATGTAATGATTTTACCACACTCTGCACCACAGTGTCTCCTGTTGATTTCTTAATTTACAGATACTCACAGTACAACTGTGAAACTTAAACAGTGACACATGATTTCAGCAGTGTGAGCAGAAACTGCAGTCAGTTGGATTCTTGTGCTTCATGAGAAATATGCAGAAGTAGCTTCAGTATTTGGCTAAAATAAGAAAGTTCAATGTACTGATTTGGTGTTGTGTGGTAATTACCCATTAAACGAATCAGACAGCCAATTTGTGTGCAGAACCTCACCGGAGCTGGAATCAGAGTCTGGACTGCTGTTTCCTTTGGGCATTGATTTCCTTGAAGACAGAAAGAAGAACAATTTAAACATGAACTAGACTTCTTGCAGAACCATAGAGGCTGTTAAAATCTTCTGCTAGTCTTCCTTACATTTTAAGAAAGATTATAAATTGTTACTAAAATTACTTGCTGATAGCGGTTACAATAACACGGCCCAATCATATGAGAGATCATTTTACCTTTGAGTCCTATGTGAAGGCGTTCTCTTCAGAATCAGCACTGCAAACACAAGATGATGGTGTCCACCTTCACAATCTGCTGCTTCAGTCTGGCTGCATCATGGTCTCCTACAGGAACACCACAGAAATGCAATCAAAGTACTTCACTTTATTTAAGAATTTCATTTTTTCTAGCTATAATTCCTCAAAAAGATTTGAGACAGCTTTGTTATTTGAGAGGTTAAAATTTAAGTCTAAAACTAAAAAGTTATAACAGACAAATATGATAATGAAATAACCAAAAGAGCATTTTAAATAGAAATGAATCTTGTTGAACAGAAATAGTGTTAATAAAAGAAAAGTTATTATATAACATATGAATCACATAATCATGGAGCAAAGCAAGAAGAGTATTTCTGAACAAATTCTGAACTAAAGTCACAACAAATCAACTGTAAACTATTGAATTGACTCCTGGTAGTGTGCTGAACTCTTAAATATTAACTAAAGTAAAATAACACTAAAGTCAACCTGTTGAAGTCTTAAATATAAACTAAAGTAAATGAACACTAAAGTCAACCTGTTGAAGTCTTAAATAATAACTAAAGTAAATTAACACTAAAGTCAACCTGTTGAAGTCTTAAATATTAACTAAAGTAAATGAACACTAAAGTCAACCTGTTGAAGTCTTAAATATTAACTAAAGTAAATGAACACTAAAGTCAACCTGTTGAAGTCTTAAATAATAACTAAAGTAAATTAACACTAAAGTCAACCTGTTGAAGTCTTAAATATTAACTAAAGTAAATTAACACTAAAGGCAACCTGTTGAAGTCTTAAATATTAACTAAAGTAAAATAACACTAAAGTCAACCTGTTGAAGTCTTAAATATTAACTAAAGTAAATTAACACTAAAGTCAACCTGTTGAAGTCTTAAATATTAACTAAAGTAAATTAACACTAAAGTCAACCTGTTGAAGTCTTAAATATTAACTAAAGTAAATTAACACTAAAGTCAACCTGTTGAAGTCTTAGTAGAATATGATCTGCCCGTTTTGAGTCCTTATACAAATCATATTTGTTTCATTTCACCGTCGGCTGCTGATGTTAACATGTCCATTCTGTTTCTTTTCTTTGAACAGTTAGAGACATTATTGAACCAGATATTAACTTTAGAAATATTCTGCCTCTTCCAAATATTAATGTTAAATTTCAGCCCCGCAGCAGCATCACGAGGAGCAGAAGAAAGTCGAGCCTGTTATTCTTACAGTCTGTGCACACTGAGCAGACTGAACAACTGTTAATGTTATTAATAATGTAGACCATCAGGACATATTCTATTTTACTGTAACAGACTGTAAAGTAAAGTTATATAATGTAGACCATCAGCACATATTCTATTTTACTGTAACAGACTGTAAAGTAAAGTTATATAATGTAGACCATCAGCACATATTCTATTTTACTGTAACAGACTGTAAAGTAAAGTTATATAATGTAGACCATCAGCACATATTCTATTTTACTTTAACAGACTGTAAAGTAAAGTTATATAATGTAGACCATCAGGACATATTCTATTTTACTGTAACAGACTGTAAAGTAAAGTTATATAATGTAGACCATCAGCACATATTCTATTTTACTGTAACAGACTGTAAAGTAAAGTTATATAATGTAGACCATCAGCACATATTCTATTTTACTGTAACAGACTGTAAAGTAAAGTTATATAATGTAGACCATCAGCACATATTCTATTTTACTTTAACAGAATGTAAAGTAAAGTTATATAATGTAGACCATCAGGACATATTCTATTTTACTGTAACAGACTGTAAAGTAAAGTTATATAATGTAGACCATCAGGACATATTCTATTTTACTTTAACAGACTGTAAAGTAAAGTTATATAATGTAGACCATCAGGACATATTCTATTTTACTGTAACAGACTGTAAAGTAAAGTTATATAATGTAGACCATCAGGACATATTCTATTTTACTGTAACAGACTGTAAAGTAAAGTTATATAATGTAGACCATCAGGACATATTCTATTTTACTTTAACAGACTGTAAAGTAAAGTTATATAATGTAGACCATCAGGACATATTCTATTTTACTGTAACAGACTGTAAAGTAAAGTTATTGTCGGTGATGCAGCAACTATATGCTGAACTTTACTACAGATCTGATTGTTCATTAATATGAATCTCGAGCACAGTTAAGTTATAGTATCATGAAGCATGATTCTTTACTGAAATAAAAAGATAAATAATGTCCGTCACAGCCAGCTATCAGTAACTTATTACTGACACCATAACGTTAGCTCCGTTAGCCTACTTCAGTGTTAGCTAGCTAGCTAACGACATTACCCCCGAACAGCACATTAAACAAACATTTCAACTTACCAAGTTAACGCAGATATCCTTAAATCCCACAGGTTGGTTAGATGTGTTTACAGCAGAACAACTCATTCTGTCAGTCCAACAGAGACAAACACGGAGTGGAAATGTTCAATGTCGTCTCGGCTTTCCTTCACTACGTAACTTTGTTATTCACAAAGAGAGCTACGCAAGGCTGTCAATCATCGTCAAATATGACGTAAAATCCCGTTTTTCAACCTCAAATTACTTATTTAAAACAAACTTCACAGAAAAATGAGCACTTGAACACAATGTAGGGTGATAATAACTAATGATCACAGCAGAGTTTATGTTTGGAAAAAAAATATGTGACGAGTATTTTAACTTTACAGTTTGACCCACATCCCATCTGTTATCATTGAGGAGGCGGGGTTTATGACCTATACTGCAGCCCTTTAGCTAACTTCCACAGACACGTTAGCTAAAGGCTCTGCTCCCTGAAACATGAGCAGGAAACTCGTTTCCAGCAGTGGAAAGAAAACCAACCTGTTCTCTGTAGCTTGACTTCAGGAGTTAAAGTCACATCCAGCAGTTTTCTTTGTCGGTGGAGCTCCTCTAAGTATCCACTTGTTGTTTCTTCTGTTATATCTCTGATAACAGCAGCGAGCAGCCGTCGACTGAATAACTCTTTAAGATCCTTAAACCCGGACATCTTACACACATCCAAGAGTCACAGAGGGAAAACTCAGCGCTGACGTCTTTACAACTTTACTCTGATCATCTACAACGTTGACACAGACACACGTGCTAAGAAACAACCGGAAATAAACGCAATATCCTCTATTTCTTCTTCTGACTTCCGGCAAGATGGCGGACCGGGTGCAGCGCATTTTCTGAGCTCCGTCTGCTTGTCCCAATTTTACACATACTTTACAATCCAACTCAATTCTATGTGATCGTATGAATCTCTCATTCATCATACCGACGCTTTAACGCTCCGGAAATTGCAGCATGAAGACGAACAAGAAGCTCTCTTCCGCCCGCAGTAGCTCGGAGATTTACGACCATGATGATGTTAAGATGGAGGTCTCTACCGACAGCTCCAAAAGAAAAGAGCCTTTCTCTCCAGCGAAGAACCCACCAGCAACTAAAAAGAAGGACACTGGGTCAGAGGAAGGTAGGGAAGGAATGAACGAAGTCCTGAACACTATAAACCAGCTCACTGGAAAAGTGGACACTCTAGGTACAGATACAGCAACACTCAGTTATGCTAGCTAACATAGCTAAAGTAGTTGAGTTCAATGCTGCAGAAATAAAGGACTACTCAGAGTAAACAAGAAGCGAGTCGTGCGGACCCATGTGACACTGGACTAAAAGAAAACCCTTCAAAATAAAAGCCAGACAAAAGACTAGATATATAGCTATACTAGACATGGTCCATCAGTGTAATAATAAATGTGGGAAAATGTCACTGTAAACATTTAAAGTAAACTATGGTCAAACTCCGATCACACAACAGAATGCATTGTGACTTTCCCTGTTTTGATTTGCACATAAAATCAATGTCTGGATAGGGTTGCAAATAATTTCAGTAACCTATGAAGACAATGCTTTTAAGTGCAATTTAATACAGGGAAAATCACATTGCATTCTTTCTATCTATCCTTTTCCGTGCTTTTATTTTGAAGTGTCTCCTTTCAGTCGTGTCCCATGGGTCTGCAGGACCTCGTCTTGTTTACCGTAAAGGATCTGATAAATAGAATAGAACAGAACATTTATAAAGCACTTTTAATTATAGGTGAGTTCAATGTGCTCTACATTGATGATAAAAATCATAGTAATACAAGAGACAAATGGTTATCTAAACAATCATGACAAAACAAAAAACACATACACACACATACTCAAAGACTAATTATTCGTATGCTTGAGAGAACAGATTAGCTTTAAAAGTAGAGACAGTTGTGATGGACCTCAGGTTAGCAGGTAGTTTGTTCCCGATAGAAGAGCCACAGTAACTAAACGTCCCCTCTCCAGACTTTGATTTGATTCTTGGTATGACTAACAGACCTTAACTTGATGACCTGAGGGCCCGGGTCGGATTGTAGTCTGTGAGCAGGGAAGAAATATACTTGGAAACCCAAACCCTTAAGTGCTTTAAGATAAAGATAAGATATACTTTATTCATCCCAACAGGGAAATTTAGGTGTTCCAGCAGCCAGCATACATACAAACACACAACACCACACATATATACATATCCCACCCATACAAAAAAACATGAGCCCACAATACAGTTTGATATAATATATGCAACTCAGGCTAAAGTTTAAAAGTTTAAATGTCTTCTGTCCTTACTTAAAGGGGAGTCGTTATAAAGTGCAATTGCAGTAGGTGAAAAAGTATTTTTAAATCTGTC